AACCATTAATAATTCATGCAGCGAAATGAAATGCATGGAATAAAGCAAGACCAACAGGAATTATAGAGCTTCAAATAAAACAGGTTGCGTAGCTGCCGGCATGACAATAGACCATAAAATCATAATGACTACAGCTCTTACCTAAAACTGAACAATCTACCGGAGTAGAAACTGAACCATTTCAATACACTGAATCTATTGAAAATGCCAATTCAAGGTGTGCGTAAACATGTGCTCGCCATGGGGTTCTGGCAATCTCTCAGTAGGGTATCTGCAACTAGAGCATAAGCTAATCTTTTATATAACTAATATATAGTTTTATTTGTAGGAAAAATAAATAATGTGCGCACTTAAGTGACGTTCTTATAGCTTAACATCAATTCTGCATTCTCCATGTTCATTTTAACCGAATTCATTACATTTTACAGCACTGGAAATCGCTGTAGAAGTTGGCTAAACAGACTTAAAGCGTCTTTTGGCTGCACTCTAATTGCTTCAGTCAGAGTTTGGTCAAGTGGAAAATAGTGAGCTGAACTGAACTGGGCTGGCTGATGGTGGCGTTGTCAGTGGGTCAGTGGTGCGGTTCGATCATAAAGTTGCCAATGCAATGCAAACAAATTGAAAATTGCCAGCTACCAATTGGCAATTGGCAATTGCCAGTTGCCAGTTGCAATTATAAACGCGGCCATTTGCCAATAGATACACCATTAGGTTTATTGTTGTTGTTGCTCTTGTTGGTGTTTTTGTTGTTGGTATTTTGGTAGTTGTTGCTGCGTTAAAGTTTTTGCTTAACTTGAGGGAACCTGCTACTAAAGCAGAGCATACAAAACTTTGCTAATAGCAGCCAACGAATCTGTGTGTGAGCTTATGTGTGGGTGTATATCTAAGCAATTCGTGAGTGTATATGTGTGTATGTGTATATGTGTGTGTATGAGTGTAAGTTAGCACAGTCAACTCAATGAAGCCAAAACAAATATAGGAAAAACTTTTCCAATTTTCGATTGCCAATTGTGCAAAAATTTTACGTGCAACTTGCTTGGGGAATACGAGAATACGAGAATGCGAGAATGCGAGAAAGTTTTGCGCCATTTCGCTGTGTTTTCTGCTATACAATGTCCCCGTTGGCCAACGCACTTACCCAGTCCATTTGTATAGGAGATGACAGGACCTTCGTCTACATTGCACATACTCAAAACAGAAATTAAAACTAATTATCAAAAAATTTATGTTTCATAAAAAATTATTTTAAGCTGTCAGCAGGCAGAAGGTAGCAAAAATTCGGAATTATCCAAATTATCAACTGCCAACTTTAATTCTGACAAATAAACTTCAATTATTTTTGCACTTTTTAGCATCGTTTTTTATTTTTTATTTTTTTCTTTATTTCAGTTTTTTATTCGGATTCGGATTCGTATTGTTGTTGCAGGCGCTGGCTTTAACTTTCGCTTTGACGGCAAACTTTTGCTTTTCATGCTACAACTAGCTGGCAAAAGTTTCTGCTAACGTAGCGCAGCAAAGTTTTTAGCACTTCAAGTGCATGCGCCAACCATCAGCCGCCACCCGTCTGGCTCCGCCCGCCCTCCGTCGCTCACTACTTCTGTCCCATTTTCACCGGCGTCCCTCTCGCTCGCACACAATACTTGCATAAAAGTTGGGCCAAGTTTTCACTTGGCTCACATTTGATTTAGTCGCTGCCTTGATGTCCATTTTATTTTGCGACTGATTCAGCAATTATGTACGAGCATGTGGCAGTTGGCAAAAGTACTCGAGTTGGATATAAAGCAACTAAGGCGACTCATAATGCTCGGGATAAAAGTCTGCTCGACGAGCAGTTCCCCTGTTGTATAAATTTAGTTTAGATTGCAATTACAATTAAAGGATATTTATTTTATTAATATTTATTTATATTATTTATTTAATTTATTATTCAGATTTTCATTAATTATAAACTATCTTCTATCATTTGTTTCTAACACTCATCTGAGTGAAGCTGAGAAAGACATAAAACACAATAACAAGCTTATGTTCATATTTAATATGATATTTGGATACGCAAATGGCAAATGACAGAAGGACAAATCAATACTAGATACAACATTCTTATGCATATTTGAACAGTTGGCGTTTGATAAATTTCAATATATATAATCCTACAGGGTATATATGCATATGTACATATATGCACATTCAAGTGGTTATGCTCAGGCTTATGCGAGTGATGGCTGCACTTTAAAGTTGCCATACGTAAGTGTTTGTAATACGCTCGTTACATTTATTATGGAGTGTGCTGCTCGGCAGGCGAACAATGCTGCTTCCGTTTCCGTTGGCTGTCTGGCTGCAAGGATCACAGTTTTGGGCAGACTGTGCAGCTGGCATTTGAATGCGGGGCGCAGCACATGACATTCGACACAATTCCCCGGCGCAAAGCACGTTGCCCGTAGCATACTTATCCGGGCAACAGCAGCAGCCGGTAGCAACTATCTGTAACTGGAGGCGGACTGCAGTAAATGCATATTTTATATTTTCATTTCATTGAAACCGACACGTAGTCCACATTTACCCTGGCGTCGGCGTGTGTGTGTGTGCGGGTTGTTGGCCTGCCAGCAATCGAGTAGAGTGTAAATTCGAATTGAAGTTGCCTGCCAGCTAATAAGATCCAGTCTATATATATGCATATCCTTTGATTGGTATAAAACCGTTCAATTTTAATTAAGTTATCGCTGCTCGCAAAGAGCTTTAACCAGAAGCGACACTTGATTGCCGCCTGACAACCTCTGATTGCATGTTGGCACACTTTCGCCTCATCTTGATAACTTGTATATGGAATCAGCCTGAGAGGCAGCCCAACAACAAGAAAGTACTTAAGTCTACAATAAAATGGTTTTAGACTTGAAACAAACGTTTCTCTTCAGCAACTGAATATTTAAGAGACATGCATATATATGAATGAATGAAGCCATATGTATGAATGCATGGAAATTGCATGTTTTTATGCCCACACAGCGGCACAGCAATAAAAATAGTACACGTCGTGGCTTATCAAACGAACAGCATCGTGTTTGCCTTACGATGCCCCCGAGAAGTCGCCAAAAAGTTTATATTCACGCTTCGTCCGCCACTGAAATATTGCACTTTATATATCAGCTGGGATATGTAGAGTATACTAACTATAAAACAAAATGGAAATAATAATAAAAATAAACAACTTATTTTAGAGTGCTAGTCTGCTTCTGCTACTAGGGAATGCCTGTTTGCTTTTTTGTTCTCTAAGCATCCACATTTTGTAGGTGAAGTAATATATCAAGCGGAAATGAAAGGAATGTTGCCGTACAAGTGCTTCGGACAACAAAATGAGTCAATTTCCATAGCAAGTCGAGCTTCTTATAAGATAGTAACTCATAGTTGTAGCTAGTACATTGAGGTGATATTAAAGGGTTAAGCTATCTACAATCCAGCCAAAGATTAAACTATATCGAAAAAGTTACTTCCGTTAGCTGACTTCTGGCTCAAAGCCTTCGAGTCCAAGATATTTGTTGCCCTCTAAATCGTGTTTAGCCATTTGGCATGAGGGTCGCGTTTGTCTATTTGGCTACACCAGAGCAATGGCCCGGACTGGGTTTGATTTGTGCACGTTGCCGTTGCTCGCTTTTTGCTGATTTGCTTTTTCCTGCCTGCGAGGATTTGGTTTATTGTTTAGACGACAAATTGCAAGATTTTCGTTTTGTTTCACTGCGCTGCATCCGTGTACGTGTCCTGTACAGCCGAAGTGCCTGATTAAACCCAAGCAGACAGAGTTCGCTGCCATTGTCAATTTGCGGCACACAAAAAGTATTCGATTTCTTTAACGACGACATGATATCCCTCTCGAAGTGCACAGCATGCAAATGGGTAGACTGAACAAATTTGATATATGTATCTAGCATATATGCTTGTGTGACTAGTTGGCTACGTTAGCTGGCATGTTTGTGGTACGTGAATCTTTTCGTTGGCTACGGATCAAGCGAATACATATCACTGAGTTCTTTAAAAATAACGATGTCAATGAAAACAGCTTTGCAGACAGACGATGGAAAGAGTAAGGACTACAGCTTGGTTTCTAATTACAACCAAAGCCATGAGCTTAAACTCGGCTGCTTTTGCAGCTGTCTTGCAATGAGTAAGAATGATTCAGTGATTAAGTTGAATTGGCTGTACAATTTCATATACCTTATTCTATTATACATTATTTATTTAGCCAAAAGAGAACTGCTATTTTATATAAATTTCAAGAAACAGCTTTGCCTTAAATGGCTCATTCTTATTTATACGTGCCAAGGCCACTTATGTTATTTATTAAATGATTATTTATTAAATGACTCCACTTAGCTAGTCGAATACTTCAATTCGATTATCTCACAAACTGTTTGGTCACTTAATCAACAGCTGGTCAGAGTTGACTTTTCGCATTATTTGACTAAATCGTGCACCCAAGTCACGTTATTCCCGCCAGCCACATAAGTGGACCTGCAGCTAATTCAATTCGGTTCCATTGAGAGTGGTTTATCGCCCAAATGTACAAATTTGTGGCCATCGACGGATGCTCCTGCCGACATTTGCTTATTCAATTTCTAAATAGAAGTTACGCACTTACTTAAGTAATAAGGCTGCGTTTTGAAAACAAAAACTGCTCAAGTTCTTGGCACGTAATTTGCATAAAATTTTTGTGCGCGCTGCCAGTTAGTTAAGTGGAAAAATCTATGTATATATGTGTGTTAGGTGGCCACATGTGATGGCATGCAGAAACAGTTGCCACATTTGCGCTGCATTAAAAACGCATTTTCATCTTCTTCGTCAGCAGGTTTAATAGTCTGTGCAACAATGTGCAATGCCTTTGTCTGTGGTGCTGCGCACAGGAGCGTAATCAAAAGAAACGGGTAAAAATACTTACAAAGCCAGCTGGAAGAAGCTATTTTCCTTTACTAAAACATCACATGACAAAGCTACCTCTCCGAAAACCACTTAACATAGTAGTCCTTGAAATTTGTCTCTTGAGAAAAAATGTCGATTTCTCGCAAATAGGTTACCAAAATGAGCAAAAAACAATCTTCCTCTAATAAACCACTTAAGAGGAGTCGCTCGAAATCCTCCTGTGATGAGCCGGTCCAAAAGCAGAAATGTAAGCCAATAAAAGCAGCTACTAAACAGGCAGATGACAAAGCCGGTAAAAACGGGGCATCCATCAAAGGTCAAAGATGTAACAAAAGTAAAATAATTGCAGAAGATAAGCCGTCTCAGTTGCCCAGACGCTCAAATCGCAAAACATCACAGCATTTGACTGAGGCGTGCGTAAAAACTGAAACTCGAAAGAAAAAGCGTCATTCCACAGACGTATCTGTTGGGCAGCAACTGAAGAAGCAAGAAGGTAAGTACTGGCATCTAGATCTGCAAGCAACAAGTGATAACAACTTCAGCTTGACTAGCTCAACAATCAGCTGCAGCTCAATCAACAAAGCCAGTACAACCAAGACGTTCATATCGCAAAATAGCAAAGACAGGAGAGAATCAAAATGACAGCAAAACAAAAACCAAGAAAGATAGTAAGTACATCAATCTCCTTTTTATTCGATCGATAACCAGCTCGTCAGTTTCAGACTGCCAAGCGAAAGAACCCCCGAAAATTGATCGACCGAAGACTACAACACCGAGAACTTCATGTCGCAGATCTATGACGAAGGCCTTAGCACACGAGAGTCAAAAACTTCAGAGCGATAACAAAGTAAAGACAAATGTGGTTTCTGCTGCTAAACCCGAGGAGAATGCTACTGGTAAAAACTTTCCTTAATCATTGCATAAAAGACTTACACTACTTAAGCATCAGTAGATCAGCCAAAGTGCTCGGTACCAGCAAAGCGCTCATATCGCAGATTATCGCAGCTGCCGACGACACCATCTGCGAATCCAATCCTTCAAGGTGATGTTAATCAAAAACAAATCAGTGAAGTCAAGGAGGTTCTAGCTGAGCAGAAACTGAAAACTAAAATCAAAATTGATTCGGTGCAACTTTCAGAAGTTCAATCCGCAGGGCTTCAATCAACAAATAATTCACATGCGAAACCAACGAGCAAAGCTCCAAGTATTCCAAGCAATAAGACCCAAGAAATTGCTGTCACTCATAAGCCGGGTAACAATGCATTGTCTAAGTTTTCTAAAATAGATTCGGTGCAATTACCGGAAGTACAATCCGCAGGGCTTCAATCAACAAATCATTCACAACCGAAATCAATACAGTTGACGCCGAAACCAACGAGCAAAGCTCCAAGTATTCCAAGCAATAAGACCCCAGAAATTGCTGTCACTCATATGCCGGGTAACAAAGCATGGTCTAAGTTTTCTAAAATAGTCATTCACTGGTAAATTGCAGAGACTCCACCACTTGCAGATATTAAAGCACCAGCACAACAAACACAAACAACGGAGCAAACAAAACTGCCTAGTCGAAGACCATCGCAGTATTTGACGGTATCACAGTACATGGATCAACGCCTTCAAAACAATGTCTGTCGAACACAAACGCGAGATACCAACGATAGTTCAAGTTCTAATCTTACGAGTAATACTGCTAGTGAGTAACTTTAATTTCAGTCTAATAAAAAAGTAATGAAATAGTTGTTTCAGAGCCCCAGTCACCAGTGCTTCAATCTCAAGCAACTCAGTTGACCGCAGTTCCATCGTCTGAAGTTACAACGACAAGGCAACCATATCGTCGACCATCGCTGTATACTGTAGCGACACCGAGCGATCCACAAGTTTTACGGAGTGATAACAACCAAAAGCAAAGATGCCAGTCAATTGACTTGACTGTTGCTCAGCCGCCGAGCAACAAGCCCGGTATGTCATACACTTAGATGTATATACGGAATCGTAATTAAAATCTAATTGAAGGTAGTCAACCGTTGGGTCATCCATCAACCAAGAGATCATATGGTCCACCAAGTCAGCTTATATCGGGAGCCGATCTAGATACTAAACATGTTTTGTACATTCGGGATTTGAGTGTTGATATTGTACATCACCAGGTTTTCGAACTCTTCAGTTCGTTTGGCAATTTGAAGCGCGTCTATGTACTCCAACGTTCCGAGAGGTACAAGTATGCTATGATGTTTTACCTAACCGAGAAGTCCTTGACCCGGGTCCTGACTGCCAATCCACACAAACTGAATGGCAAGGCATACTTTTGCCACAAGGCTGGCCCATGGCACCTCGGGCACTTCAAGTGCGACAGGCTGTTATCTGAATGCATCAATAGAACCAGCTTTAGAGATCGATTTCTGATGCGATTACCATATGGCGTGAATATTCGCACATATCTATACGAATCACATGTCAGCTCGAATCAGGCGAACAGCATTGCTGATCCAGATTTGCTAAAAAAATCCGCCTTGCTGCCGCCAACATCGTTGGCCCTGTTGCATTATCTACGCAAGAAACAGTCCATACCAAAAGCCACCAGCAAAACGAAACAGCCGCCACCGAATACCTATGAAAAGCAACTCTTTGCTGGCATGGGCAAAAACTACAAGTTTGAGCGTCACAGCTACACAAATTTCGTGGCCTACCAGAAGCAGCCCGGTCACTACGAAACGGTGCCCACCGACTATAAAGTGGGACTGACAGCTCTGGCTTATGCAGATCTACGGGATAAGCCGGAGCTAATATCATTTTTTTATCACTGATAAAGCAAAAGAGTATTTGTATATAACAGGGGAAGAAGCAAATGGGCTTTGTTAATCTCGACAGATTTTCTCTTTTTTTACTTGTATTTTATGCAATGAGTGCATGGGTCCGTATTAGACTATTCAATAATATGCAAGAATTTACTTTAAGTGGGCCCGATCCGTTCCGTTCCGCTCCTGTGATTTCTGTGTGCTTATGTATTTGTATAATGCTGATGGAGCTCGTTTGCTGTGCTGGCAAGTGAAACCATATAATTTGAGCATCATGTTGATGCACTTATCAGTGCGAAGCTGCTACTTGGCAAGCAAAGGCACTGCAATAGATAAACATCAACTGCAGGGCAGGCAGTGGGAACTGTATAACTCTTTGGCTAGGCACCCAGAATGCAGTTGGAAGCGCGTTGGAGCAATTGCAACATACGATGTGGCACTTGCATACTTATGGCATCATCTCCATTGAACCATTGCTTATTAAAACATCCAATCGTGCCACCGCTCATATCCTTTGCAGTTGCTAGATCTGGGGCGAGCATGTGGCATGTGGCATGTGATTTTTGTAGTAGAGCCATTCACTTTGATTGCTTTTGGACAACGCGTCGTATGATTGTTTCTGGTGCACTCTTGCTGGGATTAGGGGCGGTAGCGCCACGAAGTCACACAAGTGCGAGCGTGCGACTCGGAGTGGACGTGGCAAAATTGATTTGTGCACGTGTGCAGTTAGCTAATGAGCCAAACAGGGCATTGCTCCAGGGAACACACGCAGCTGCATAGCGAACGAGTCACAAGACATTGCGCAATTGCCAACGTAATGGCAAAGCCTGCAAGTAGAATCTGGTGGCTGACAGCTGAGCGCGTGCACAGGACAACTGACAGAGGTTGGCCTCAGCTGTTCGCGTGGCTCGGTTAATTAACAATACAACAAAATGTGCACAAGCACAGGTAAGTATACGAACTGTGTCGCAGCCGTGGGGAAAGTTGATTTGCTCCGAACATGTTACAGCATTAAAATTTTAACGTCAGGCTAATGACTACTTGGTTAGAAGACAACGAAACTCGGAAAAAGCTAGAGCTTTGAGCGCGCCAAGAGCCTTAATGAGCTGCAAAAATAGCTGAATGAAACACAAGAAAGCTCTTCGAAATAATGCTTATATGTTGCGGAGCTTTAACTCTCAGATTATGTAACTGATTCATTTTTAATATTATAAACTGTTCGATTAGAAAACTTAGATGCTGTAACTTTAAATTCATACTTGAATCCTTTGAAGAGACATAGTATATCGGTATGTCAGAAATGCTATTAGTTAAAATTCTAGAGACTTGTAATTTGAAACATACAATTCAAGATAAAAAAGATATGGGCATAGGGGGCGTGGCACATCAGTGAAAACTTTATTTTATGTTTAAAAACTTAATATTCAATGTCTAAGTTGCTTCTCACTTGTTTGAAATATATTTAATTTAGCCCGAACTTAAAGCCTTGGATAACTGAAATTATGATGAATGCCTATCCAGATTTATCTCTCAAATGAAATACTTGCCAAATCTTTGATAGCTTCATTCCATGAGCTATTTATTCCCTTATATTATATATGTATTTGAAATCCCTTTTATCAACTATTAATAGTGACGATTACGTTCAACTATTTGCATAAAATAGTGAATTCATGGACTTTACGTTTAGATAAACTGAATCCAGTTGGTCCACCCAAGCAACTGGGTTAAATCATTTAAACTCATGCATACCAAATGGAAATAATCCCACTTTAAACTTAAACGCCAGCGAACTAAATTCTCGTATCACACGTAGTTTCTATAGATTGCTGGAGAATGCAGCTATTGTCATTAGGTCTTGATGGACTGGGCTTGCCTTGGACAACGTCAACGGTGCAGTCGTGCATCCCAAATTGCTGTCAACAAAGTTGGTCGGCGGCTAGCAAATACAGGGCTAGGCAGGACATCCGGGCCGATAGTTGAGACGCGCCCAGGATGTGGCGCTTAATGTGTTTGCCAAAGCCAAAGACATTCACGCAGTCATCAGACACATCCTTACAGCGCTCGTCTTTGTGTGTGCGGGTGTGTGTTTCTGAAAGTGTTTTGGGAAATCAGCGACAAATCGAAAACGAAATGAGTTTTCGTTAAATGTTAAATGACGAGCGAAAATGCTGCTTTGATTACTCATTTGGGAACGCTGAAATCGAATGGCAGTAAATCACAATAGCTGGCAAATAGTGAGCACTTTAAGCCGAAGCCAACAAAGCCTTAAGAGTTCTGTCTATTAAGTAGCGAAAGTAACACGAATTACAAATTAAAATATATATATATATTTGATGCCAAATGCTTGCAGTTTCCACAGTCACGTCGGGTCTGGCCGGCTGTAAGGGAGGCCAAAGAGATTTACAAATTTGCCAAAATAGCAAAGATTTATAGTGGCCAAAGGCGAGTGGATCCCACGGCGATTGCAGTGCGTGTTGTTTGCAAAAGTTTTTCGGCAACATTTAAGCGCAATCCTCAGCATAGTACAGTGGAAATTAGCAGCTGTTGTGGCAGACACAAAAGCAACTATCCGCATTTTTTTCCAAGGCCACCTGCTAAAAGTTGAAAATATATTTCCTAGTGGTAGTGGTAGTGGTGGTTGTTGTTGTTGCTGTTGCTGGCAGGCAACAACTAATCTGTTAATTTATGTTGAAAAGTTCAGCAAGTTTTGAAGCGCTTAGCAAACAAAATGCAATAAATTATTAAGAATATTCCGACATTGCAGAGTCAAGGTAAGAGAGCGAGAGACAGTAGAGTTTTTGTGCATTTCATTAATTTATGTTTGTTTGCCAACTGCAACAGTATAAGTGTGTGTGTGTCTGAGTGTGTGTGTGCTTGCTTTTCAGTACTATTTGATTTCAACACTTGGCCGCAACAATAGAAAAACTTGAGCCAGCCAAAAGGCAAAAGTCACACGCAAAAGATAAACATGCCCCATAACGAGCCGACGTATCCCAACCATCGAATCCAGCCCGAGTCACGCTTACCATCTCCATGGCCCTGGAACGTGCCCAAGTCTAAAGTGGCTAACGAAAAGTTAAAATGTTCTTATGCATAAGTGATGCGACGTCACATTCTTTTCATGGACTCGCACTCGCACTCAGAGTGACTTCAGCTCTCTTGCTCTTGCTCCTGCTCTTGCTCCTGCTCATGCTCCCGGCTGTCGTTCTGCTGCTGGCGACAAAGCGCTCACGAAGTGCCCGCATTGCAGTTGTTTCGCTCCCTTGCTGGCCCGGCCAATGCCGCCTTTTTTGACTGCAGCATGAAAACTTAATGCCGTAATTAACTGTTTGCGTTTGTGCTTAAAGGCCGCGACAGCGAATTAAATGGCTCGCATATCGCGTATACGCAGCGTGTGGCTTAAGCCGCAACTTTCCCGACAACGAATCGCACTCACCATCGCCCTGACCCGCTTGCGGCTGCATCTCATGTCGACTCGGACCAGGTATCGCCATTTGGGTTTGCGCTCGAAGCCAAACCAAGCCAAAAATAAAACGAAAAGAATTTCTCGCGTTATTTTTAACATCAACACAAATCTGAAATGCCGTGACAACAACTTCCGCTGACTGCCCAATACAACAAACAATGTTGAAAATAATTATTAACTATTCGACTCAAATATACCCTGATAAAAAGATTTGTATATAGCTAATAAGTATGAAATTCATTCTCACCTGAATTTAAGTTCCAGTAGCTCATCAATAACTAATCAAATGCTCAAATATTTTATTTCATATACTCTCCCATTTATGTTTATTTTAACATTCAAAACCATTGCATGACTATATTTTTTTGAGTTATTGCCAGAATGCTGAAGGTTTTTCTTTTTCTATCTTTTTTGCCACATATCCGTGTGTCATTCCAAGGCAAGCAAATCGAGTGCCACTGACATTTCGACTAGCAACCGTTCCGGAAATGGCTGTAAAAACATTTGAGCTCGAATTTCCCCCCATACAAATTAAGTTTGATGACTTTGCGCAAACAGCAAGTTTCAGAGCGCGATTTCATTTCCGACGCTTTAACACTATTAAAAACGCTGAAATTGAAAATTTTGTTGCACGGTTTGAGGACAAGGTCTTGACTCACCATTCGGGCCAGCGTAATGCAATTGTCAATTGCAATTAGTGCGCTTAATGCACTTTTTGGATACATTCGTGTTTACCGTCCCACCTGGGCCCCCACTAAATGTCTGTCAACCTGTCATGCAATCAGCGTCCCCAAGTGCAGCTTGCGCACTTACATGCCCTGAACAGTTGTTAGCCATTGCACAAGGACTCGCCGGGCAACCTACCCTGGTCACCCAAGCCCCACTTGCTGCCAGCTTAAAGACTACGTCGACTTGAGTGCCCCTAAACTGAATGATGATACTTTAGTTTCTTGAGTAGACACATATTGTGCCTGTATGATTGTTGAGTGTTTTGCTTGGCTGCAAATTAAACAACTTTCCAACTTTTGAAACTTACGATATTGTCCTATTTGTAGAACAATAATCATTTTTACGGAACTCATATCTTTAGCTGTTACTCCCTCAGATTTACCTTACAAATGACTCGGCTCAATGTGTTAGCCTCGAGCATCTTCTAGGCTTCAAGCCAAATTGTATGATCGAAAGACTTAGGCAAACAACGGTTAATTTCAATTCATTATTAAATATATAATTTATTAAACTTCTTGGTAGAAAATTAATCAGTCGGAGATTTCAATATGGAGCTGGGTATTCATATAAGGCCTTGCTTTGGACGTCATCTTATTTGGTCTGGCAGCACTTGGGAGCTGTCTTGCCGGCACATTGGCATTGTTGGTTTCCGGCGCAGTTGCCGCCGCATTTGCCGGACGTGCACTGGCAGTCTAAAGCAGGATTGGGCTCATTAATATAGACCATCACTTGATCGGGGATTTCACTCTACTCACTGTTTCCGCATCCTTTGCAAGGCATCTTTATTATAGTTCACTTTGTTTTATAAAATTCTTAACACAACGACTGCTGTTGATACACTGTTGCTCAATGGGCTCGCTACGCCGCCTTTTATATCGTTTCGCACAGCTGATAAGACAAATAAAACAAGCCGTGTGCAGCTGTATGTGTTCAGCGTGCGCAAAAGTGAATACGCTGATATCGCGTCGGCTACGCAATTTTGCGCACGCCTTGATAAGCCAGCTATGTATATGGTTAATACTTGTTAATTGATGATTCCACTTGTTAGCCCCCGAATGGTGTGCAAAAGACGGAATTAGCCAGAAATCTATAAAATACCAGCGGCACTGAACAGAGTCAACAAAGTCAGCGAGAAAACATCGTGTCGAACACACTTCTAAACAAAAACACAAATAAACAAATAAACAAACAAAGAATGGGTTGCAAGGCTTGTGGAACCAGTGAGTATATACACATATATATATAGAAAGCAAATTGGAGAAATATTATGGTATCGTTGCCCACAGACTGCCAGTGCTCGGCCACCAAGTGCGGCGACAACTGCGCCTGCAGCCAGCAATGCAAGTGCGCCTGCAAGAACGAACCCAAGGACAAGTGCTGCTCCGACAAAAAGTGATTACATATGAATATATCAATACTATATCATAAATGTATATAGATATATTCAAATGACTGACTCACTGATGCACACCAACTTAGTACCAACAATAAAAAACACAATTTTTATTTGAATTTCTTTGTTTGACTACTTTTTTCACTTAAGCGAGATTTTGTCAACTTGGAACTTAGTAGAAGCAAACATTTACCAGTTTGTAAGCTGCTCGCAATAAACAGACGAGTTGAGTACCCATAACCATCTAGCCATAACCAGCAGACAGTTTCAGAGCATTCATCACAATCTCTTAAGCCTACAGTAAATTCATATGTTTCAGATTCTACTTACAAGGTGAGAGAACAGAAACAAACAAAACACTCTTAAATAATGTTAAAAATCAAATCTTTATTGGCCATTTTGACAAGAATAGTTCTTTAGTTCTTTCAATTCGTATATTGCTTACACTTAAAAAAATAACTCCATTTTTATCAATAAATGTGCACATTTTCAAAACTATTTCCCAATATCAGAGTGAGTGTTGTGTGTGAGTGTATGTGTGTATGGTGTTTGTGTTTATGGGAATGTGTGCGCGAGCTTTTAATTTATATTTAAACATTTAAAAATTGAAAACGTTACGTTCAACACGAACACACATAAAGAGTTTGTCGTTGCTCAATTCAAATTTGCTTTAACAGCTGCACAAAAATGTGTAATTAACTTCAATTGTTTTTAATCTTTGTATATATATATATATATATATATATATACATATATATATATAGTGTGTATATATTTATTGATTAAGTTGGGTTACTTAGAAGTATTATAAAATTCTTACAGTTTCACATTAAAAGCTTAATTGTTTACACAAAAAAATAGTATTTTCATCCTCATCGTCGTCTACTTTTCATCTGTTTATCATTTCTCATGCTTTTGTGTCCTTGGTGTGGGCGACAGAAGCAACAGTTTGTTTATATATTTGTTTTGTTTTTGTTTTTTTTTTAACGCATTTTTAATGCAATGCACACTTTGTCCTTAATGAAAATCATATCAAATATAGTACATAAATGAAATTTGTTTGCATTTGCAGCATGGAAGCCAATGAAAAGGGGTTTATACATAAAGCAATTCATATATAGACATATATATATGCATGCATATACAGATATTTATATGTATAATACGTACTTACGTAATGTATAACTAAAATGAGCACAATTGAGGTACATTTGTGTCCCAACTAAATAACTTAAACGTATACAAAATAAACGATTTTAAATTATAATAAAACTCACAAATTTAGATTCAACAAATATACGTAGTTACAAAAGGAAACTAACTAAATTCACGTGCTGATCACGCAATCCATTAAAATTAAATCATTTTCATACAGACATTTGACAAAATTGACAAAGTCGTGTCTAAAACCATATTACACACACGCACACACACACACACAGGGACGCACACACCTATGTAAATTGCGTATATAAAAATCATATACATATTTAAGCACAATTTAAAATCTTAATATCTGGTATTCTGTGCGTGTGTTTGTGTGTGTGCGTATGTGTAATGTGACGTGTGTGGGCTGTGTGTGTGTGTTGAAGTGCCGCAATTTGCATGCATTGCTCTTGTCGTTTAGTTGATTCGTTTTTGGCGTTTCACAAATGCTGCAAGAATAAATAAAACATTGTTTAATAATTGAAAAACAAACAATTAGCATAAACACTTAACCACATTTAACATTTAGATGAAATTCCATTTCAAAATGTACTTTACGGTTTTTTAAGTTAAATCTTCTATACATACAACTAGATAAACATACATATAAATATATTTTGGCTATGTGTAAATTCGTATACAATCCGTTCCTCAGTTCAAACTCATTTTCTCGACTAGTCTATCAGAGAGCCAATACATATAGGCGACTACTGAAACCAGCTTTTCCAATTTGTGTCACTCCAATTAGATATTTGTATATATATATATATATATATTTATATATTTTAAAATACATTCAACAATATAAATTCGAATATACGATAAACATTTGATAAAATTGTTGAATAAAACTTTTATAAAACACATTTCTTTCTAAAACATTTTCCATTTACTTAAATCGTTTACTAGTTACAGTAGCTATCGTTTCATCCAGTGTATTTGTGTGTATATAATACTCTTACAAAGGTAACTTTAAGTGTTTCTACGAATTGGAGATCACAACCACAAAAATTTTCTCCTTACTTTATTGTGTCTTTACGGGCTACCGAAATAGGTTTGTATTAATATAAAAACTAATAAATTATATACATACCAAAAATAAAACACATGCCACAATGATGCATTCCAAATATGTAAAATTTACATTTGGGTTAAAATAGTTTGATAAGTTAAGGTCGATGTGCCCGATTTTGTGTGAATTGTAGGGTATATTGGTTGCTTGATTAGAGTAAACATCTAATGGACGTCGTTAATAGCGGCAAATTCTTTTTATAGGATTCATTTGTTTACGCGATTTCATGTTACATTCTTTTCTTCACATACATATATATCGTTTGCGAACATATACATATATATATATATATATAAGTATATATAAATGTGGCGTATGCTTTGAATAGGCTTATAGTTTATACACATCGAAATTCGGCATCGTATCAAAGTCCGCCATGGGAAAATCACTACCACTAAAATTGAAGAAAATTTGAAAATAGAAAATAGAAAATCAAAATTAATTAAATAAATAAATCAATGCAAGTAAACGAGAAGAAGACGCATGAGTTATACTAAAACAAATACAAATGTGTGTGAATCATTGGAATGAGTCGGCAAATGATGTTAGTTGTGATATAAACGAATAATGTATTTAGTGAAAAGAAATATGTGGTAAAAGGTGTACGATTGAAAAACTGTTAATCTATACGAACGGTGCCCCCCGCCTACGTCGAAGGCATTCGATTCTCGTGCCAATTTAACAACATTAACAACAATAACATCAAGTTTCATCAAGTGATGGTAACAACAATTACGAACAAACATAATAAAGAGGTATATAAAAAGGAAAAATATACATGCAATCAACTTGTTTATTGTTTATATATTTTGTGTATTCTTGTAATTTCAAAGAAGCCCCAAAAAACAGTTGCTTGCTGAAAATGCAATTGTTGTCTATTATTGTATTCATTGCTGTGGATGTTCTTTTGGCATTTACAAATGCATGATGGTGCTATTCTGTAAGCTGCGATGATATCAAAAATTAGAATATAGAATTACATTAGATATCAATTTCATTGTATACGTAGAAATACATATTGGATTGTTATGGCTGCTGAAAAGCTTAATAAGATGGCAATACTTTGAAGTAGAACAACTAAGGCAACAAAAATAATTGAATATGAGATCATAGAACCGAGCGACCTGATAAGTTTGAAAAGTTAGTAAAGTAGGCAACGACAGCGGGCATATCTAATGAATGTGACAATTGGCGAATGTTGCAAGTGGCAAGTGGCGAGTGGCTAGTGGCGAGTGGCGAGTGAAGACGTGAGTTTATGTTATGCAGAGGCTCGGATAGGGCGGTGCAATGATGGACACGCTGTTAGAGCCGTGGCACACAACAAACAAACTAATGATGATTATTTGTTTTGAGAATCAAAAATCGAATTGTTGGTTTATTGCTTGTTTGTTCTTTGCTGGGTGATATTGATGCGATTGCGTATGCGATTGGTACATAAATATATGGATAGATATGTAGGTATCAAAAAATACCTTTCGGTAAGAGGCACAACCGCAACTAGCCTGCAATTCGAATTTATGTTTTTAATATTGGACTGTTTCATTATAGGGCGATGGCACGGCATATGTTGATTTAGTGGGCATCATCCACTGTGCTTCTTGCCCATTGGCGCACACATTGAATATGGTGTGACTTATCTGATCCAGTATGGGATCGTCTGGCGCTGTATTGTTGACATAATTCTCGAGCTCACGCGCCACAGTGCTATCATCTGAATCAGAATCATCCCTGTAATAGGATGTGGTTGCGACGCTCGATGGATTATAAGACATGATGCCACTACGTGGAGAATAACTGGATGGGCACCACAACACCGAGTGTTTGCACAACAAATCAAAAACGCATAAAAGTAGAAAATGAAAATAAACAAAGAGTAGAGTAAGTAACATAGTTTATACCACAGCTGCGTAGCACAATCGTTGTTTTCTTTATTGTTAATATTAGTAAAGGTAATAAAAAAAAAGAAAAAAAGGAAAAGCAAAACAACATAAACAATAAACGCCAGTGAACAAATTTGTTTATTATTTTTTTGTTTTAGTGGAATTGTTAAACATTTTTGATATCGCTTTTTTTTGTTTTTATGTCCCTCTCGATTTCAAAGTATTGCAATCTAATTAAACTCTTGAAAATGTTATGGGCCAAATAAATAAAATTAAAATACAGCTGAGACTGCAAGGAAACTAAGACCCTACTTGAAGGGTTTGCTTTGGATTCGGTTGGAGTTCACTCCCCAGTAAACAGGAGCAACCAAAAAAAAACAATATATAAAAAAAATTTTAGCTAAACAAATATCAGGAAGAGTCGGTCAGAGAGACGCTAGATGTTAGTAAGAGGTCGACCGTGCAAAACTTACTTTCCCATCGACATGCTATCCTGCGGCGGTGACTGCATTGAATGATGAGGCGTGCCACTGATGGAGCCCGTATCCCCACTGGTACGCACCTGCACGCGTATCGTGCTGGGAACATATCCATCGCCGCGGGGCGTTGGTTCTATTCAGATAAAAAAGAGGTGTCAATTGTTAATGTGTGGTCATGTGCTACAAAGGAGACCTAAGTTGACTTGTTTGACAATTACACTTAGCATTACACTAACCAAATTTTAAACGAATTTACAAACAAGCTTATAAATATATCTTGTTTAGAGACCTTGTCAATGCTCATATGTTGTCAAACAATATCAAATCTTCAGGTAATCCTTTAGTAAACAATTAAAATTTAATTTCATTGGCTTATAGTCCTACCAGAACGCTGTGTATAAAAGTCACCAAAAGCGAGATCGCGATCCAATGGTTGCACATTGATATCGGTCGGGTGCAGACATCGCAGCATTTCCAGATCTCGTATGCGATCAGCCAAATTAAGTATTTGGAAATCACGTGCAGTCCACGGCGAAAGCATTGTCACCGAGCCACAAGTGTTTACATAAGCAATAGTAACACCACCTAACAAAGCGATAATATTAACGAAGCTCTTAACCAACTAAAATGAATTTACGCACCCAATTCACTGTCGGAGAAACGCAACAAAAATGTGCCTATGCCTGTAACGGCGCGCAAGAGATCATCGTGTGCCTTGGCCTTGTTGATGAAGCCCGTAATACGGCCCGCTTTCCACATGGATAACAAATGGTCTTTGGTCAGCTTCATAATGGCAAAGAACCATTCCCAGAAAGTGAAAGTACGATCTGGCAATGGCTCCTTACAAAATTGATTCCATGAAATAAACTCATTGCGCTCGCCGGCAATATTATCACGCTGCAGCTTCTCAACTAAGAAAGTTATTAAGATATTATTCGGTCAACGTAGGAAAAGTTTCATCTCGCTTAACTTACATAAAAACTCCAAATTCTCCGATGTTAGGGCACGCTGTGTGCACGATCCAAATTTGGTGTTAAGTGCAACTGACAGCTGACGCCAAGTGACACGATCTGTGACCACAAACGGATCACGTACAATATCTGCGAATGCATTGTCCCAAGTAATGGTGGCCCAAGATTGTGGCTCCTGGTTGCCATGCACAATAACCACCACGGGTAGCGAAAGTGTCCAGACGCGAATCTGATAATCATTTACTGTTGTGGTCGCATAGAAGAACAACGCAAACTTTTCATCCATGACACTTTCGGTGCCCTTCTTCTCGGCGCGCTTGATCTTCTTTAGCTGCATATTTCTAAAGCTAGCAGAGAATACATGACTGCTCTGCTGATACTCCATGGTGCTGGAGCAGTTCTGTATCTCGCCCGACGACTGTCCAGCCAGACTGCCATTGGTCACATCCATATGTGTGCCACGCGTGACAAAGCGCTGCGCCTGCAACTCTGCAAATATAAACCATAAACAATTAGGGATACAATTCAAAATGCGATTGATGTGCTAGAAATCCACTCACCAGACATAATAATACACTCGACTGTGGGCGGATTCATGTGTATGCCCAGCTGTGATCCAAGTAACCAGCGCACTGAGGCCGCAAAGCGTGTATTTGTCTTCATTACCTGCGGCGGCTGTTTATCCACAATGAAAGCAGAGCATACTAGATTCTTTTGTGCCACCTGCACTTGTTCAAGCAGACAATTCAGATCGGGATCATCGTTTACTATGCGCACCAAAAGTGTTTCCTTGACAGCTGTCAGCAGATGGGTGACAAACGATTCCAACAGCTCAAAGCAACGCTGTATATCATCCAGCATATTCTCGCTAAACTGTGCTCCATTGCCAGCTAGGGCTTGTTGGCGTCGCCAGTTCTTAAGCTCCGTTATGACCATATCCTGCAGTTGATCGTAAAACAGAAAACTGCGTCGCAGCCTAGCCACCAGTGCGGTCTTATCCTCAATCAAGCTCTTGAACATTCGTTCCGCATCGGGCGAATTGGGTGCGTTTAACATACAGCGATAGTTCTGTACCAAAACTCTTAGATTTTCAGAGCATGTTGTGAATTCGTTGAAGCTTTGGAATATCTGATTGTGTACTTCATACAATTCCATTTTAGCTGGGCCCATCGAGCCGGGAGCTGTAGTTTCAGCCATATTATGCATAATGCCGGCTGGCATGCCACCAGCAACTGGGGATACACCGGTGCCTGCAACACCTACAAATTCACTAGCATCAACATAGCCAGTGTTCATACCAACGGCTGCGGCAACTACTGCGGCATTGTTCATATTATACGTGTTCAGAGGCATCGATTGGCCTGCGGTGGCAACGGCGACACTCTTCTCGGCGGCTAATTGCAGTTCTTTTTGCACTCCGCTGCGCAGATGCGTATATAGCTCAAGGGCCGGTGTGCGTTGGATCAGCGCACAGAGCTCAACCAGACGGTACTTTAGCACCTGATCACTGGCACGTGTTGATAAAAGTTTCTGCTGTAGATCCTCAATAAACTTAACAGCGACGAGCTCCAATTGATTTGTCGAATTAGGCGTAATCTGCTCAGACCTGCATGGGAAAAACAAAGAGAGCAACACAGAGAGAGAGAAAGAAAACCCGTTAGAATAGAATATATAAACTTATAAGCTTTAAGCTCGACCTCCGAAGAACCATCTGATATGGTTTGTTTAATTTACATTAAACATTCTCTTCAACATATATTAATAAAAATTTTCTTCCAGCAAACAAAGCCTTTCTGTGTGGAGAATAGAAAAACCTTATAAATATGTATTTACAGCCCGCGCCCATACCTAGCAGTGTTTTAGTCTGAATACCTTGGTTTCACCCACTGATCAGGCAAAGAATCGCCACTCTGAGAACACTAGGGTCAACTACTCACATTATTCTGTCTTCGATCCAGGGCGCCAAGCAGAGACGCAGGTCGTACAGACCCTTCTTATTGTAGTAAGCCGCCATGCGCTGCTCGCAGTCGGCATGGCTCGAGATGCGCTTCCACAGACTCATGCTGCTCATATGGTTTATTGGTTTGGATGAATATGGATGGGATGTTAGCGAGAGCGAAGCAGCTTTACATATGCTGCGACCAGGATGCAATGACAGGGATACGGCTGACAATATGTGCTTTTAGGCCAGAGTGTTGGATTTTCTGTTTATACAGATATATTTTGATGCTTGTTTGTGTTTGTTTCAGTTATTTGTTATGCGCTTCTTATTTGTCATGCAATTTAATTTTGTAACTGTTTAATGCATTTTTGCAAGGCTCTCTGGCTGCTTGGTGGTGGCGGCGGCGATGACCTGGCCAAGGTCCAGCTGCTGGCTTCCACAAGCGAATCGGAAGTTGGATTTGTCCATAAAATTCACACAAACGGAATGTTAGGTACGAATGCGTATGGATCAAAAAAAAACTATAAATAAAATATATATATACATAAGCATATAAGTGGCAAGGATAGCATGAGAGGAAGGATATTAAATGTACGTTTGTATGTGTGTGTGTTGAGATGTGTGAGTGAGTGTGTGAATATGTATGCTGCATGTGCAGAGCGCCATTCATAAAATCCATCTACACAAAGCCTAATTATTTATAATGAATAGATTTCAAACTTCTTGACCATATGAGACACATTGGCAACAACAAATTAGGTGAAGCACAGGAATTCGTACAGGAATTTAGCTAAATTATGCCAAAAGCACAATCTCTGACGATGCGTTATGGGATTTCTTGGGCAAATACAAGTTTGTACTTTAAGTTTCCAAGAATTTCCTTATTTTCTCTGCTTGTACCTCTTTCAGTTTAATACTTAATACAATTTGGTAAATAGCTCGGTAAACTCTCTATTCTTAATATCTAATAGCTCATGTTCTAGCTTGCACATTTATCTAATGTACATTCACATAATTTCATATACACAGCTTTTATAAACATTTCAGTTCATATTAAATTAATATTAATTTACTTTCGGTATTAAAACTCTAAGACTTAAGATTTCCAGCCTCACATTACAAAGTCAAAAAGGAATTCCTATTTCAAAATTCCATCCTTTGAATATGCAACAAGGCAGCTTATATAACTATGTGGGCCGGATGGGTTGTTTGACAAACAAGTGAAAGGAAACTTATTGCTGACGCACTTTGTGCTCAACTATAACATAACTCGTCACAAGAAGCGCCACTGTGTGTCTGTGTGTAAGCCTGATGTTACGTGTGTTTTAAGGGGCTTATGGCAACGAAGAGATACGATAGAGCCATGTGCTAACAAAACTCAACTTTAATTACCATAACAAAAATAATGGCGAAAAGCAAACAATGCGACAACAACTCGCATAACAGTGAGAAAATAAACAAAAGGCAGCCAGAATGGAGGCAAATATCCGACGCACCCTTATGGAAAAGTGCACGGTAATGGGCACAGGGACAGCTGGACAGGTGTAACAATTAATTTCGCGCTGCAAATATGCTCGTTTTAGCAACATGATTGCGCAGAGTTCATTCTCGAATCGTCGTGTGGGGGACACACTAAAACGTGATCGGTCGAGAAACAAACAGCAGACGAGAAGAGCAAACAACAACAACAAGCCCCCGGTAACCCGAAGAACCCAGCAGAACAACGACTCATGCCCAGACATTTGTTTGCCTTTGTGGTCGATACGCTAATTTTCGTAGTTCTCTAGAAAAAAGGGACAACAACGTGAGCACAGCGCACGTAGCAAATATGAATGGCCCGAGAAATGGCCAAACAAGCCAAACCAGTTAGACGAGGCTCAAAAAGAGAGCAGCCCGCAGCAGTAACAAAAATTTGATAAAAATCAAACTACACACAAATACACAAGCTCACACACACACTGAGAAAACAAACAGACACAATGAAATACGGCAGACTGTAGAGATGGATGCTACTGAAGAAACGTGTCACGATGTGAATAGAATTCTTGTTTATGCTTAACAGGTAACTAGAATTAAAGTTTAATTGAGCAAGGCCAAACGGAAAGAATTACATATTCTGACACAAAGTCGCAGAACAAATTTGTGAATTGGATGTATCTTTGGGATTCCTTTTCAGTCACGACTATTCGCTCTCATCTCTATGCAACTAAAAAGGAGCAACAGCCACAGAAATCAAAACAGGTCAAGCCCGTGGCATGTGTGTTACCTGCTGCACAAGTCTGGCTGGTCGATCTCAAAACTGATCGGATGTGCGGCTGACTAGAGAGTCCAAAGCCCGCGGCGACTCGGCTTAGGTAGCCAAACGATATTGTGCAGGTTTATCTACGATTCATGAGTTTTTTCTACTCGCTGGTTCACTTTCTGCTGCCGTACTGCCAAATGGTTAGTAGTTCAAGGCTGCTGCTGCCGCTGCCTTTGGTGCTTCTGCTCCACACAATGCAAATGCCAGTTCAGGGGAAAATTTAGCTCTTGTTATTGTTGTTATTAATAATAATACTGCGTTTGTATTTGCTTTCGCTGCCAGTGAATTTCTCACAAAATGGCTGCGGTTGCCTTCGACCTTGAACAATTTGTGCTATGCAAATTGTGCTATAAATACAAATATTCCTTAGGGCCAGCCAACAAGTCAGCCACCCACCACGCCACAGGGCAATCAAGCGAGCAACAGCGTCGTGTTCCATTCATTGTTTGTTTGTTTGTTTGTTTTATTTATTTATTGACCCGTTCTGTTTTGATGCGAGCTACACCTGCGTCACCTGAGATAAGCAATGTCGCAGCTGACATGTTTATAAATAACAATCCAACATAGGACGCCAGAGTATTAATAAGAATTAAATGTATATCTATGAAATAATGCGTTAGTGTAGAATGACAACAACGATTCTGGATACATATATATATATATATATATATATATATATATATATATATATATATATATATATATATATAAATATATATAATATATATATATACATATATATATATATATATGTGTGTTTATATGTCTACTTACGAATACAATTGCTTTCAAACAATGGAAATGTGCACGCAATTTAAGCCAGAAAAGAAACGTAAACGCGACTAAAGTGTTTAGGAAACTGTAGCCTTGCTTATATACTCTGTCGATAAGTACACGCAATTCAGAAGGAGTGAAGTGTGTCAAGCAACTTGAGTAAAATTTTAAAATAATCGAAATAAGAAATATTATTCTTTGAATTGCAAATTTGATTAAATGAAAAAAAGAACCTAAATAGTACGCTTGCTTGTCCACTTTTGATAAGAGCACCACTACGAATGAAAAGAATGGATTATACTGATGAATCAATTTACCCGGAAGATGATGACAATTTGATAAGGTACTCAACAGCTGACTGAGCCCGTTAACTGTTATCAGTTGAATTGGCAAAAATCATTAAGACATCATCAAAATATTTGCGCTAGTTTTGGGGAAATTTAGTACAAATATACTGATTTCTCGTGAATATGGCTAACATGGAAATTATATGGAAATTCATATTTTGCTTAGAAGTTGGCCATTGTTAAAAGCGTATAATTAGCACAAGCAATAGCTTGCTGCAAATAATAATTAAATGTGCATACTAATATTAATTATATATGCATGTGTGTTTTTGTGTTTGGCATCCTTGATAAAGCACATTTTAGCATTCGACCTATAAATATGTGAAGAACAATCCAAGCGTGCGACTTCAAAAGCCACAAAATGAAAAGTTGCGCCGCCTTTTGTTGTTTACCTGCCATAAAATATGAAATGAAATAAAGCTAAAAAAGAGGCAGCAACAAAGTTGCCAAAAAGCATAGTGAGGGTAGATAGCTTGGCATAACATATTGCCAATGAAAAAAAAGCTAATAAAATGGAATACAAAATGAGAGTTCAGAGTCTCAACGAATACAAAATACTCTAGAGTAAACACTTCAGACATTTAAATAAATTTAAAAATTATATTTCCAAAAGAACAAATTTCAATGCAAAGGGAACTGTGTTAACATATGTTAAGGTATTTAACAGCAATGTAAATGTCAGCAGCAATCAATGTTAATGGTAATCATATGAAATCTGTTAGTAAGCAAGTCTGTAAAGTTGAGCTACAATTAACAGAACAAGCTAATGTTAACTAAATGCAATGCTATCGGTGCAAGTTACTTGACCTTTTGCTGCACGAACGTTTCATTCTAATATGTTACTAAATCAAAATACTCAATGGGAAGAGTATACGGACGCGATAACCGGTAGTATTAAGAAGACGACTTGAAAACCGGCGGATAACAGCATTTTATAAATCAATAGAACCTATATTTGTTGAATTTGTTGCTTGTGTGTTCGAACAAGAGGCGGCACAGGGCGTCGCTATGCATTGCATTCGTTAGCCCCAAGTGCAGCACAGTGCTGTTTGTTAGGGGCGATAATATTTGTAAACCAATACGCTCATAAAGCAGACGTCCGCTGTGCATACGTAAACATGGAACAACCGAATCAAGCTGAAATATTTAACGCATCGAAACGACGTCGTCAATGGGCTAAAAACGTGTCTACACTCTGGTTTTCATGCAAAGCAACGAATTCATAAATTCGAATCAGTTTCTCAACAACAACGGAGAAACTTGTATCTTTAGAGGCGCATTGACGTGTGCATTTCAAAGCAGTTCCAATGAATTACACTCATTCTCATATAAATTTACATAAGTACGATTCTAATAGAGGCAGTGATTAAATATCAACATAAAATGCCAAAATTAATGTATATTTATATATATAAATAATATATATATATATATATATATATATATATATATATATATATATATATTTGTGTATATGTAGTAGATAGACCTTGGCCGTCTCGAAAGTTTTGCCAAATATTCGTTTTCCGCATGATACGTGTTTATTGATTTTAAAATACAATGAAAATCTTATTTGCACAAACTTAATATAAAATATTTTCTGAGAAGCTACTATAGCTACATATAGTGTAAGTCTTTAAAGCCAACTTACTGTAGTCATGCAGGCTGACTAGATAACACAGAACTTTTTATAGGGATTTTTATTACTTCTTTGTTTTTTCTGTGAAATTGATAAAGAAATTAGCCGAGTTCGCTCAGTACCATTAAAGTTATCACTGTATTTGCACAAGGTGCTGACATCTCATCAGAATATGTACTTTAATTTGGAACGTTCCTGGAACATAGTCGCGCTTTAAATGAAAATGGAAAAGTTTTTGGGGCGCGTTTATAACTCCGATAAACGTACAACAAAAAATGTCGCCAACGAACCAAACGCGATACGCATATGACGTACGACGTACAACGTTTTGATAAGAGTCACATGTGAAAAGAGCGAAGAGAAAAAGAGGCAGAATTAATGGCAAACACGAGCGAACCCTTGGCTATATTTCACTTGTTCCAATTTTCTTATGGGAACAAATTTATTGGCGACTTATTC